GAATATTATAAATTTTTGGAAAATGGGCGTAGCCACGCCCACTTATGGTTACATGTGTATATCTTGGTAACCGCTGCACCAATTTCTTCCAAACTTGGCACAGTTGTTGGCCTTGGCACAGCATAAGATATCGCCGAAACTTTTTAAAATCGGACAATAACCACGCCCACATCCCATATAACGGTAATTTAGAGAAATACAAAATCTTCGATAAATCAGTAAATATTGAAGCTAATTTATTCAAAATTGATGCTTGCAACAATTCTTTACCAGGAAATACGATTATGGTAAAACTTTGGAAAATGGGCGTGGCACCGCCCACTTATGATCACATATAGGTATCTCGGTAACCGTTGTACCAATTTGTACCAAACTCAGTACGGTTATTGTGCTTGCCACATATAAGCAAAACGTTGAAAATTATTGAAATCGGACTAAAATTGGGGCCGCTTTTCATATAACGGTAAATTTCATAAATGCTTGAAACTGCAATATTTCGAAATTTAAGGACGTTAATTTACTCAACATTGATACACCCCGGCTTACCATCTAGCGGTAGGTTTCGGAAAGGTGAAAAAACATATATTTAATACTTGCGCCGGGTATTTAATGTTCGGCTCCGCCCGAACTTAGACTTTCTTACTTGTTTCCTATTAAATGTGTATGTGTATTTAACAGGTTACCATCGAGCGAGCGTTTTCCTCTTTGAAGATAATTCTAACGGATAATCGCAGTAGGCTAAATCAAGACACATTAGAAGACATTCTTTTAGTAAAGCTAAAATCTGCACTTTTGAATAAAGCCATCAATGAATTGCCATTATTTGAGAAACAATATATGGAGAGCTTACAAAACTAAATAGCACATACATACATACATAGTATGTATGTACGTACTTAAAATTTAAAACTTTGTCGCCTATTGCTACTTAATGTCTAAATATAATAATCACTCATACGCCCATGCATTCATATGCATGTACGAGTAACTGTGACTGACGAGTTTTTGTTGTTGTTATTTTTGTTGTTGCGAATGGAAGAAGAAGGAATCTGCTGGTCTAATAACACCACCTTGTATTAATTCGCCTTGATACAAACATACGTAATTCATACATACATACATACCCAACCGGAAAAGTTGTAATGCATTACATGCGTGATAAATAATGTAATGTATTTCTTATGAGTTCTCGGTTATATTATTGCTAACTATGTAACCAGCATTCTAATGTATTCAAAAAGTTCCAAAAATTTCATATTAAAACACATTCATTTCTCGATACTAGGTAATGCACACTTGAATGCCCCACTTTCCTCAGGACATAGGCCTGGGGAAAAAATGCATTTTCGAATATGAAAAGGGTTGTTTTACTGATTATTTTTTCGATTAATATACATTAAATTTTCCCACTGGGTTTGTAGTTTGTTATTTGTAGTTTCACAGCAAAGCAATAAACAAACTACTGTTGCTTTGCTGAGGCTATGCTGTCGCTGTGCTGCCGCAAATTGCTTATGAACTATTCGATAGCTGTCGGAGCTTCACAGCAAAGCGGCAGCCAAGCATAGGCTATTTTTTTATTTACTATTGCTTTGCTTTTGCTATTATGATATGCCGAAGTTGAATAATATCAAAAGTAAATAAAATAAAAAAATTACAGCACTTTCAAACCCTGGATTATAGTCTTAAAATCTTTTTTTTTTTTTGTTGAAAAATAAGTGCGTAGCGCGTTTTTTTTTTAAATTATATGAAGCTTTTTACAGCTACTGCCTAAATTTTAATGAATTCTGGTCCAGAATCGTTTGTAGTTGATTGTAGTTTAAAAAAAAAATTTTTTAGTTGAAAAATAAGTGCGTAATGCGTTTTTAAAAAAATTCATATGAAGCTTTTTACAGCTACAGCTTCAATTTTAATGAATTCAGGTACAGAATCGTTTGTAGTTGATTTTAGTTTTAAAATTTATTTTTTTTAGTTGAAAAATAAGTGCGTAGCGCTTTTTTTTAATTTATATGAAGGGTTTTATAGCTATCGCCTAAATTTTAATGAATTCTGGTCCAAAATCGTTTGTAGTTGATTGTAGTTTTAAATTTTTTTTTTGTTGAAAAGTAGGTGCGTTATGCATTTTTTTTAATTTATATGAAGCTTTTAACAGCTACAGCTTCAATTTTATTGAATTCTGGTACAGAATCGTTTGTAGTTGATTGTAGTTTTAAAATTTTATTTTAGTTGAAAAGTAAGTGCGTAGCGCGTTTTTTTTTATTTATATGAAGCTTTTTATAGCTACCGCCTAAATTTTAGTGACTTCTGGTCCAGAATCGTTTGTAGTTGATTGTAGTTTTAATTTTTTTTTTGCTGAAAAATAACTGCGTAATGCGTTTTTTTATAAATTTATTTTAAGCTTTTTACAGCTACCGCTTAAATTTTAATGAATTCAGGCCCAGAATCGTTTGTAACTGATTGTAGTTTAAAGTTTTTTTTAGTTGAAAAATAAGTGCGTAATGCGTTTTTTTTTAAATTCATATGAAGCTGTTTACAGCTACAGCTTCAATTTTAATGAATTCAGGTCCAGAATCGTTTGTAGTTGGTTTTAGTTTTAAAATTTATTTTTTTTTAGTTGAAAAATAAGTGCGTAGCGTGATTTTTTTTTAAATTTATATGAAGCTTTTTACAGCTACCGCCTAAATTTTAATGAATTCTGGTCCAGAATCGTTTGTAGTTGATTGTAGTTTTAAAACTTTTTTTTAGTTGGAAAATAGGTGCGTAATGCGTGTTTTTTTAATTTATATGAAGCTTTTAACAGCTACAGCTTCAATTTTAATGAATTCTGGTCCAGAATCGTTTGTAGTTGATTGTCGTTTTAAAATTTATTTTTTTAGTTGAAAAATAAGTGCGTAGCGCGTTTTTTTTTTTAATTTATATAAAGCTTTTTACAGCTACCGCCTAAATTTTATTGAATTCAGGTTATTTACGCAGGTGGCGTCGCACGAAGATGGAGCGCACCAGTGTAAAGTTAATGTAACGAAAATAAGAGTAAATAAAAGACACAGTGGTTTTAGTGCAATGAAATTAAAAGTCGTTTTATTTGTAAATATCTATGAGTTTGAATAGTGTGGCACACAAGAGTTGGCTTACCGAACGTGGTGTGATGGCTGACGTGATCTCCTTGCTGTCTTCTAAGAGGTGACAAATTGCTAGCAAAACGAAAAGGGATGTAGCCCACCGCACTGTAACTTTCGTTAAGTTTCCCCTCAACTAAGTTACCGTACAGTGGGGCTCATTGTTAGCGGCTGGAAAGTTAGCCGAAACTTATACATGTGTTTGTGTGCTCTTACATGAAGTGACAAAACGCGTATTAGGGTGGCGCAATATATTTAAGTCGAGGACCTAAACATACCGGCACCCTTGCGGTAAGCAAGCTGTGAAAAAAAGGAGTCGCGTCTCAACCGTCACACGCACGTGGGGAAAGTCTTATGTTATTCAACTATGTAGCGCGGATTTTGTACTGCGCGGATCTGCTTATTCGCCCACGCTTTCGTCACGACCGGCTCAGCTGGGGCTGTGGAGAAAAGGACATCGTTAATTGAAACAGACGTGGTTTGGAATTTCAATGCACTTTTTTATTTAGATTTTAAGGTGTGTGTGTGTGATGAGGGTGTGTATATGTGTGGTTTTGTTTTCTTAATATCTACGTTTATGGTTGGCGGTTATGGTCGCCTGGACCAGCAGGCCACCCACGGTAGACGGGGGGGTCCCGCTCACCATCATCTCCGCATGCAAATCGAGGCCTAGTGTGAGGCGTATTGGTGACGCGCGAAAGAATTGCGGATGCGCCAATCGCATGTACTGGAAGGGGGCCGCAACCTTAGGGTCCAGGTTCGACGGTGGACTCAGGCGTATATGGTGGTCCAGCACGACTGCTTGTGTCGTAATACGGTCGGAGCTGCCGTATCTTCCCCGCTATGCACTAGGCGGCCCGTTCGGAAGCCGATCGGTGGAGCGCGTTGTAAGGCATGACAATTAATGTTGCTGTCGTTTGTGCGAGTTTTGTGGTATGGTGCTGCTTTGCGTAGCCTAGACGATCGCTTAGACGAGCGGAAAGTACGAGTTTCCGCGCCGTCGCGTCGTTTTGGCTTGCGTTGCGATCGTGATGCCGGGCGGAAAGGACTGGTTTCCGCGCCGCCGTGTTGCCGCCAGTTGTGTTGTTGACGCGTTTGCGAGTGGAAAGGACGAGTTTCCGCGTCGCGTCGGTTGTATTGCTGACGCGTTTGCGAGCGGAAAGGACGAGTTTCCGCGTCGCGCCAGTTGTGTTGTGTACGCGTTGGCGAGCGGAAAGAACGAGATTCCGCGTCGCCCGCGCGTAGTGGTAACTGGTCTAACGGTCTCGGTGTGCCAGTTCCAGAGTTGCGCTTTTGTCGCTCATGTGTGGAAGAGTCTGTCCTCTCTAACCCCTCCAACTCCTCCTCTTCGACCTGCTGCGCCCACGACTTCGTCTGCTCCGTAACGTCGATAGAGAGTGCCCCGTCCGAGCTCTCGCCGTCGTTGATCGCGTTCGCTGGGTGCCTTTGGTCTTCGCAGTCATCGAGATGGAGCGAGGTGTGATGCTTTTCGCGACATCGGTGGCATCGATCCGTGCTGCTGCACATGTCGAGGCGGTGGAACGGCGAGAGGCAGGTTGGGCAATATTTATGCAGCAGGACTGCACGCAGCCTTGCTTCGACCGCTTTGCCACGGTAAAGGGGGCATAGTCGAATGCTATGCGCTCCGCCGCATAACCGGCATAGAACCGTAAATTTATCAGCGCGTTCTTCCGCATGTGCGCGATTGGCCGAGAAACGAGTCATTCTGTAAATGAGTCTCGTAGTTATGTCCGTAGGTGTAAAAAGTTACGTACTATTAGTTTTGGGTTGGGTGGCAAGTGGCGAATATATGTATGCCTGTATGTCTCGTGAAAGCACATTTTTATATATACGTGTGATATAATTATGTAAATATATATATATATACTATTTGTTTATTTATTTAATTTGTTTTGACTTGGCGAAGTACAAAACTGGGCCAATTCAGACTTTCAGTCTCCGCGTACTTGTGCGGTGTTAAGTATAGACCAATGGTCTTACTCCTAAAAAGTAATCAGACTTACAGAGCTCTACAAAGTGGCATTTTTATAAAAAAGTTTCAATTTCAAAAGCGGTTAAAGCCTTCTTTATTTTCTATGACTTTGAGCGTAAGGTTTCGTGTTTGGGTATAAAGGAGATCTGTGGAAGGTGACCATCGTTATAAGATTTTATCCCATTACGTTTGTTGCCATTTGCTTTTGCATCGAACAGACCTTTATGTAGTACAAATTTTTCGATCACTATTTCCCCGAACACACCGTGAAATTTGTAATCTCGTAAAAGGTGTCATTTGTGGTTTTGTGGTGAGTTTCACCACTTGGCCTGGCACGGCGAAAGAAAATTTCCTCACTATGGGTTCGAGACCGGGCTAAGCCAGTAAATACTACATCAATGTTGCCAGGTGGACACTAAGTAAGTATGAACAGTTTTTAATGCACATAGTGAAGTTGCAGTTTGAGAAGAAGGAAATGAAGATTAAACTGTGATTTTGTTAAATGAAATGCGAATTTTTAAAATTTCGAACAACAAAGTAAAACTTTTTATTCTTATATACAGCAATCAGAAGCTAGCATAAATTAAAAAGAAACAAAAAGCTTCCTGGTTGTTTGTTAAAATTTTTTACATGTTGACGATATTTACATGCAAAGGGCGCTTTTTAATAACCACACTAACGCTTTCTCACTATAATCACCTGGCAACACTGTACAGCATGCACCACAAAATACATTTTTTTTGACAACCTGACAACCAGATGGTGCTGCTTGCCATACATTTATGAAGGCTCGCATTTCGCCCAATCACGTATGTCAAACTTTGAGCTAATCGTATGTCAAAGTTTTGACACAGCAATAACTTCCTGAATGACTGAAAATTTCATTCTGGATTTGGCACGTGGTAAGTTTGGTAGTAATTAATAAATTATTAGTGTTATTCAATTCATTCATTTCATTTTCAGATTCGCATTGTAAAAAAGGGCGAAAGGACTTGGCTGAATTAAGGCAAAGACACAGTAAATTGTGACATTTTGTATCCGCCAGCGAAAGCGCCGATATAGAATTTATGAGGAAATAAATGGTGAAAAATGTTCTTTTTGGCCTAACAACAAAATTTTCGTGGTCCCAGTACAAAATTGCAATTTAATAAAATCATCCGCCAACGAAAGCGCCAATATAGAATTTATAAGATTTTTATGATTTTATTAAATAGTGTGTAAAGATGTCGTTCTTCGGCGGAAGCACTTCACTGGGTGCAACAAGCACGCCCGCAAAGCCTGGTGGCATATTTTCGTCGTTCGGCACTGGCAGTGCGGCTGCTGCTCCAGCTTTTGGCACAGCAACATCAACCGCTGCACCGGCGTTTGGTACATCCGTTTTTGGCACTACAGGTTTTGGCAGCGCTCCACCTTCATCTGCACCCTCTCTCTTCGGTTTTCAATGTTTCGATTTATGGTGATGAACGTGACACCATTATTGCCAAATGGAATTACCTGCAAGCTCTGTGGAGTACCGGAAAATCATTTTACTCACAAAATGCAGTTCCGGTCGAAATAACGCCCCAAAATTATTTATGCCGTTTCAAGGCAATGGGCTATAGCCGCTTACCGGATAATCAAATGGGATTGGTCGCGCTGAATTTCAATAAACCGGTGGATGTAAAAGCTCAACAACATCAAATTATGACCTCACTTAACAGCGTCTTTGGCAATAAACCGAACTTGGCTATAAATATTGAGTCCAGCAAATAGCATGAACAGAATAAGTGTCAGTTAGTCATATACGTAGAGGAGCGCTCCCAAATGTCCCCTAACGAAACGAAACGTATACTCGCCACCGAAGTTTCCGGCTATCTCAATCAGGGGAACATGAAAACACAATTAGCCACTCTTGGTATCGCTGAAGTGCTGGCATTGGTTTTGCCCGACGAAGATCAACTTAAAGAATATTTAGAGAATCCACCAAAGGGCATTGATCCGCCCATGTGGCGTCAAGCGAAATTGGATAATCCAGACAAAGCTAAGTTCATACCAGTACCAATGATCGGGTTCAATGACCTCAAATGGCGCACAAAGTGTCAAGAGCATGAAACAGAAACACCTGCGCTCTACCTAAAGAAAGTAGAAAAGGACTTGGATTGCTTCTCGGAAATATTTCTCGAGACCATACTTGGATTGACATTGCCGCATTGTAAACCTCTTCAACTGCACAGGTATTTGCGCAAAAGATTTGACTCTATATTTCATATTTTACTTATACTAGGTTCACATATAAGTAGATTATCCTCATTTTCGAGCTTAACACCCTAATCTGTAATTATAACAAAATATTAGCCATATAAAATTCGTCCCTTGTTAATCTGTAATTATAAAATAATCTCAGATTAAACCGATAACTTTTCGGTGTCCCTCCTAGTTTTATCGATTGTTTTTGCAAAAAAAAAGGATAAATGCCAAATGTTAAAGTAAACAATAAATGTACGCTAGCAAGGAAAAGAGGTTTCTGAAGGTATTTTTAATAAAATGTTAAGTTAAAATATATTTATATTGCTTATTATAGCATAAAAACGTGATCACGGTGGCACAGAGAAGAAACATAACTTTTCCTTGAGATGTGAGAGTAACAAGCACAACAAATTTGACGGCTAATAATCTGAGATTTGCCTGTGTAAACGGGGTAATTATAAAAACGAGCTTTGATTGAGATAATATTGATATGTGAACATAGTTTTACTGAACCCTTGGCGGTATTTATTTTTTAAACATTTTTTGGACATCCTCGTATAGCAACAAATCTTGCGAAAGCGGCTAGAAAGGACGCGGTGCTAAGGTCGCTGGTAGCTTCAAGGTGAATGGCTTTCGTCGAGAAGCAGACGAAAAGACACACGTAGCCTTTTGACATGCGACATCCTCTGCCCCGGTAGGACTTGATGTCGAACGGGCCGGCGAAATCCACCCCCGTGTTTGTGAATGCACGGGAAAAGGTTGTGCGTTCTTTGGGAAGGATTCCCATAAGTTGAGTTTGCGACCGTTTCTTGTAGATCGTGCAGACCTTGCAGTTATGTATGCCGGACCGTATCAAGTTTTTCACCCTGGGAATCCAATACTGCGATCGGATGAGTCGCAGCATCAGCTGGTTTTCTCCGTGCACGGAAATTTTATGGATAAACTGGACAAAGAGACGGGACAACCTGCAACCATAAGGAAGAATGATAGGATGACGTTCATTGTAGGACAGATCGCAAGATGCGCTCAGACGACCACCAGCCCTCAGAATCACATCTTTGTCGATGAACGGGTTAAGAGGCAGGATTTCACTTTTTCCGTCGATGGATTTTCCAGATTTTAACCTTATATATTCTTCGCTGTAATATTGTTTTTGACAAATTGTTATTAAGCGTTGGGTCGTTGTTTTAATTTCGTTGGCCGAAATTGAACGAGACTCCGCTTTAAAGGAAGATTTCGTTTCGGGATTGATTCTTTGATAGAATCTCATAATATAAGATATAACTCTCAAAGCCCGTGACAAATCAGAAAATCGATCGAGAATGTCGTGAAAGTCTTTTACTTTTGTTGTTGCATGAACATGCACCCTTTATTCAATGGTTGTGTCAAAGTCCGATTCTTGTGCTGGCCATCTCGAATAGTCTTCTTGTAACCAAGAAGGACCCTGCCACCACAAGCAGTTGTTGACTAGATCACTCGCCGAGAGTCCTCTGCTGGCTAGATCCGCTGGGTTTGAGGCCGAATCCACGTGGCGCCAATTTTTGTTTCCTACCTTGTCTACTAGCTTTGTTATCCTGAGGGCAACAAATGTTGACCACGAACACGGGGGTTTTCGAATCCAAGCTAAAACTATCGTTGAATCCGTCCACAAATTCACCTTCAAATGAGCAAGGCTAAGGTTTTCAACGACAGTTTCAATTGTTTCGGCCAGTAACACTGCACCACACAACTCCAATCGGGGCAAAGATATTGTTTTGACCGGGGCTACCCTTGTTTTTGCCATAAGTAGGTTGAACCCTTAGAAAAACTGGCGCCGCGTATACCTTTTCCGAAGCATCGCTAAAACCATGCATTTCCACATTATCGGTTTGCGTGAAATATACCCATCTTGGTATGCGGATGTTGTTTAATTCCGCGTAATCCTGCGTAAATGCTTGCCAACGATCCCAGGTATTTGGAGATACGGTTTCGTCCCAACCTGTTCCTTCTAACCAAATATTCTGCATAATGATCTTGGCGACGATTATAACCGGTGCAAGCCAACCCAGTGGATCGAACAGTTTGGCGATGGCTGAAAGTATTGCCCTCTTTGTAATAATGCTACTATTTTCAATTGGTTTCGCTATAAAGTAGAAGTAATCGGAATGGGCGTTCCATCTGATGCCCAAAGCCTTTACTGCACTGGTATCTTCAAACTCTAAGAAATCTTCACTAAGTAAATGACCTTTTGGTATTCCTTGAAGTATTTTGCTAGAGTTTGAAGTCCATTTTCGTAATGGAAACCCGGCTGAATTTAGCACCTGTGATATCTCTTCTCGAGCTCTTATCGCAGCTTCGACGCTATGTCCCCCGGCGAGTACGTCGTCAACATACATACATTTTCGCAAAATGTCAGATGCGATTGGATGATAGCTCTCCACATCATCAGCAAGCTGGTGTAATGTCCTTATCGCAAGGTAAGGAGCACAGTTTATGCCAAAAGTCATGGTTTTTAATTCGTACAAACTGATCAGATCTTTTGAGCAACTACGAAAAACTATTCGCTGATATTTTGTTTGATTTTGATTTACCCAAATTTGTCGATACGTCTTTTCTATATCGCTGTTGAATACGTATTTGTACAGTCTCCAACGTAGTATAAGAATGGGTAAATCGGCCTGAAGTACTGGGCCTGGAAGAAGGACATCATTCAAACTCATGCCATTAGCGGTTGGGCATGATGCGTTGAATACAACCCTGACCTTTGTAGTGGTGCTTTCTTCCTTTAAAACGGCGTGGTGAGGTAGAAAATAGCAGTCCGTTGAATCTGGTGAAATCTTTTTATTAATTTTTGAAATATGTGCTAGTGTCTCGTATTCAGATACAACCCGGTTGTACTGTTTGAAGGACAGGCTTTTTCGCGCCTCGTTCCGGTAGAACTGAGAGCATACACTTTTCAGCGAAGGTCCTAAGCACACATTTTTCGAAAATCCCGTTTAAAAGGTAGAGACACAATGTATTTTCCATCTGTATTTCGTGTCGTAGTTGCTTTGAAGAGCTCTTCGCAGTATTTATCATCTTCGTTGATGCCTTTTTTCTTTGGGACATCCTCCAGCTCCCAAAATGCAGCTAGCTGCTTGTCCAACGTGACTTCGTTAAAATACGATACGATATTGTTCGTTGGACTGACTGAATCCGCGCGACCAGTCAGTATCCAACCGAACACGGTCTCTTGCGCGAGAAGCCTATTTAATACGTTCTTCCTCATTCCGCTTAAAATTATTTGGGGGTAAATATCTCCTCCTAAGACCAGGTCAACTGGCTCATTGACGAAGAATCTTTTGTCCGCCAAGACCAAGTCTGGGAACGATTGCCGCGTCATTGCGCTTATCTGATAAGTCGGAAGATCCCCGGTTAATTGTGGTAAAACCAGCACGATTGCTTCTATATTAATTAACGGGTCTGTGGGTGACCGAATAGCACACGCTTCTTTTACCTGCGCAGATACAGAGTTATTGATGCTCGAAACTTGGGCATGCAAGCGTTTTGATGGCAGGTTGATTCTCCGTTTGAGTCTCTCAGTAATGAACGAGCACTCAGAACCAGAATCTATAAGCGCTCTAGCCGAAAAATGTACACCATTATAGTGTATGTTAACCCGTGCTGTTCCCAATAAAACTCCTTTACTTGTATTTGCGTAACAAGAATTTACATTTGTAACCGATTTGATGTTTCCTTTTTCAGATTCGCGTCTTGATTGAGCCTGGTTTGAAGTAGATTCCACGTTACCCGATGGATCAGTTGTTGCTTTTGGCTGAATCGGCATATGGAGCAACTTGTGATGTCTTGAATGACAAGTGCTGCAGTTAAATGAGCTGGTACATCTTGAGACTGTGTGCCCAGCAGATAGACAATTCAAGCAACTGCGAATGCTATTCACGCAATCTACTCGCTCCGTCGGCTTAAGACGCAAAAATCTGTCGCACTTTGATAGCTTGTGTGCATTGCTGTTGCACATTTTACATGTTGCCTTTGCTACACTGCCTTGAAAGGCGCCAAGCTTTTTTGCAGGCGTCTCTGCAGAAGTCCGAGAGCTTGGTGGTTTAGGTTTCGAAGCTATATCTCCCCTAAGGCCTGTGATGGTTTCCAGTGTTTGAAACCGATTGGATAGGAATTTATCCATATCTACCCATTTGGAAATCTCAACTTTATTTTCTATGGTTTGCTCCCTTGCTTCTGGCAGTTTTGTCGAACACAAATATGTGAATATTGCATCCCAATTTGCAACATCAATCTGATGACACTGAAGCGACGAGATGCAATTATTTATGTCGCGTTGCAGTTTCTTGATAGAGCTACCGCATTCACTCTCAACTGCGTTTAAATTAAATAATACCTTTAACTGCTCGTTGACGAGGATACGTTTATTTTCGTACCTGTCACAAAGATTTTTCCAGGCTGCACCAAAGCCATCGTTGGTTAATGGGGATCTCTGCACTATTTCCTTGGCCTCCCCTTGAGTCTTTTGCCGGAGATGATACAGCTTCTCAACTGGGGTAAGGCGCTTATTGAGAATATATATAGCCGTAAACATATCCCTAAACGATTGCCACGAAAGATAATCTCCTTTAAAAATGTCTGTGTCACAAGGAGGGAGATGAATATTAAGCTCGCGACCTGACTTGTATTCGCTTTCCTTTTCAGTCTTTGCGAGTTGCTCTGAAAGATCAGCCATTGCTGCTTGGCACCGCAAAAAACTGAAGTAGGTGCTTTTATACTTCTTTTTAACCGATGTCAGGTCTCTGGTTTCGAGCTCTTTTGATGCGCAAAGCTCATCATAAGACCCCTTTACCTTTTCCCACAGAGCCTTTAATTCATCCTTTTGGAAAGCTAAGGAGTGCTTTGTGTGCTCTGATGGCTGCATAGTATTGTAGTCAGATTCGAATTCTGCTACTGAATCTGCCTGACGAATAAAGGTATCCATTTTTGACAACCAAAGACCACTCAATTGGACGCAAGAAAAGAAATTTGTCTGTAGTAATAGAAATCGCCGATTTGTAGGAAAATATTGCCACTAACCGCTTAGCCCGAAATAAGCCTAGTTCTTATGAGAACAACAAAGGATAACTTGTATATTTAAATAACGATTTATTTATTTTGCAGCCAAGTAAGACTGTCGAACACGTAATTAAGTGAAAAAACTAAATTCTGTGCTTTGCAAGAAAAGAATAAATTTTATCAATCTTGTGCTTCGGTAAATGCGACTGGTATTTTTACACAAACAACACCGTATCAAGAATCAAAATGGACGTTCGCGCAATTCGTTAATGTTAGCCGATACACCAATAAACATGAAAATGTTCTATATTTTTTGTTTTCGGGAAAATATTAAGCACTGAGTTTTCTTCCCTTTTTATTTTTACAAAATAATCACGCGCGTTTTTTTTTTTTTTTTTTGTTAAAATTCGTACACACACAAGTGCAATGAAATTCAACCACGTACCTTAATGTGTTGTTATTTGCCGTGTAGTGCGATATGCTGGTTTGTTAAAAAATGTGTTGCTGACACTAGTGCTGCTGTGATGCAAACGTGATGCTGTGATGCAATACAAAACGTTGATTTGATGAACAGCCGGTTAAGCGATGAACCAAAAACCGCTGCTTGTGTAGCAAACCGAAGAAAAACGCTTGATATAGCTCTTGTGGCACGTTGGTTGTGGTGCGAAAAACTCAGGTTGACGTAGACGTAGACGAACGTGATGCTGTTGTAACCAATGTGGAAAAATGTGGCGATCGGTTGAGGCAGTTGAAAAACTCAGATGTGATTCTATGTGGACTGTATAATTTGGTTACTTTTTAGGCTCGAAGACCAATATTTACCCAGGTGGCGTCGCACGAAGATGGAGCGCACCAGCGTAAAGTTAATGTAACGAAAATAAGAGTAAATAAAAGACACAGTGGTTTTAGTGCAATGAAATTAAAGGTCGTTTTATTTGTAAATATCTATGAGTTTGAATAGTGTGGCACACAAGACTTGGCTTACCGAACGTGGTGTGATGGCTGACGTGATCTCCTTGCTGTCTTCTAAGAGGTGACAAATTGCTAGCAAAACGAAAAGGGATGTAGCCCACCGCACTGTAACATTCGTTAAGTTTCCCCTCAACTAAGTTACCGTACAGTGGTGCTCATTGTTAGCGGCTGGAAAGTTAGCCGTAACTTATACATCTGTTTGTGTGCTCTTACATGAAGTGACAAAACGCGTATTAGGGTGGTGCAATATATTTAGGTCGAGGACCTAAACACAGGTCCAGAATCGTTTGTAGTTGATTGTAGTTTTAAACTTTTTTTAGTTGAAAAATAAGTGCGTAATGGGTTTTTTAAAAAATTTATACGAAGCTTTTTACAACTACAGCTTCAATTTTAATGAATTCAGGTCAAGAATTGTTTGTAGTGGATTGTAGTTTTACATTTTTTTTTAGCTGAAAAATAAGTGCGTAGCGCGTTTTTTTTTTAAATTTATATAAAGCTTTTTACAGCTACCGCCTAAATTTTAATGAATTCTGGTCCAGAATCGTTGTAGTTGATTGTAGTTTAAAAAAAAAAAAATTTTTAGTTGCAAAATAAGTGCGTAATGCGTTTTTTAAGTTTATATGAAAATTAGATTTATATGAAATTTTATTCATTAAAATTTAAGCGAAAGCTGTAAGAAGCTTCATATAAATTAAAAAAAAAAACGCATTACGCACTTATTTTTCCACTAAAAAAAAAAATTTTTAAACTACAATCAACTACAAACGATTCTGGACCAGAATTCATTAAAATTTAGGCGGTAGATGTAAAAGGCTTCATATAAATTTAAAAAAAACGCGCTACGCTCTTATTTTCCAAATAAAAAAAAATGTTAAAACTACAATCAACTACAAACGATTCTGGACCAGAATTCAGTAAAATTGAAGCTGTAGCTGTTAAAAGCTTCATATAAATAAAAAAAA